CATGCCTGGGTTGTGGCTGGGGAAGTACACTACTAGGTATTGTTGAGATGGAGTCTCACAAACTTTGATGTGTGGGCTGCCCTTAAACCATAATCTCCCATGTTCCACCACCAAAGTAGCTAGGACTAGATTTGAGCCACAATACCCAGATAATATATTCCACATTTTCTTTATCCACTCACCTATTAATGGGCACCAAGGCTGATTCCACAACTCGACTATTCTTTACAGTGGAGCTGTAGACATGGGTGTGCACGTATGTCTCTTGTACATTAATTTAAACTCCTTCAGATATAGTGCTACAGCAGAATCAGAAGGGTCTAATTTAGATTTCTGATTAACTCAATTTACAAAAGACAGTTCACTTTGCTTGGTATGACATGTTATTCAGGGCTTTATTTTTGTCAGTCATGGGTCTTGAACTCTGGGCCTAGGCACTATCCCTGAGCTCTTCAGCTTAAGGTGAGCACTCTACCACTTGAGCCACAGTGCCACTTCTGGTTTTCTGGTGGTTAATTGGAGCTGAGTCCCACAGATGTTCCTGCCCACGCTGGCCTTGAACTTCAATCCTCAAATCTCAGCCTCTTTAGTAGCTAGGATTATAGGCGTGAGCCACTGGTTCCTGGCTTATTCAGGTTTTTTAATGCTTCTGTTAAAGTTTTTCTGGTTGATCTACTTCCGTGAAGAATTACAGGATTTTGATAAGAATTGCATTGAATCTGTGGATTTGCTTACCACAGTATTTCTGCCTGTCCATGCACATGGGGACATATGGCTCTCTATCTAATGACAGCTTCTTCAATTTTTCTTCAAGGTTTTAGTTTTCATTTAGGTTTCTCACCTCCTTGGTTTATTCAAAGCTTTTTAGTTTTTTTTTTTTTAACCCTACTGTAGGCAAATTTTCCTGATCATCTCCCAGACTGTTCCCTGTTGTATCCAGGATAGGAACATATACTCTGAAAATAGGAATAATTTTATTCCTTCCGTTCTATTCCTTTATTTCTTTTGCTGGCCTTCTTGGTCTGGTGAAGAGCTCTAAATATTAAGAGTAAGAAGAGTGTCCTCATCTTACCTGACTTCAGCTATAATTTTTGTTGTATTGTACTCATTTTGGTATCTGGGTAATATTCATTTTATAGAATGAGTTTGTTAGTGTCCCTTCCCTTCTATTTTATAGAACAGTCCTTCTTGAAATATCCAGTAGAATTCAGCAGTAATCTAGTCCTGGGCTTTTTCAGTAGATGTTACTTTTTCAATCTCATTGCTTAGTATAAATATTTGTATGGTTTGTATCTTCTTGATTCAATTTTAGTATGTCAAATACATCTAGAAATTTACCCATTTCTTGTAGATGGTCTAGTTTATTAGAATATAGTCAGTCTTCTCTAAATCTACTTTGGATCTCACCAGCAGTTGTTGTGATAGCTCTTTTTTTTATTTGTTTTTGATGCCAATCCTGGGACTTGCACTCAGGGTCTGAGTGCTATCCTTGAGATTTTTAAATCAAGGCTAGTGTTCTACCACTTGAGACACAGCTCCACTTCTGGCTTTTTGGTGGTTAATTGGACTTTCCTGCTCAACTGGTTTTGAACTGCGATCCTCAGATCTCAGCCTGCTCCTAATAGCTAGGATCACGGGTATGACCCACCAGTCCCTGGCCTTGTTTCTTTTTAAAGAACAACATTTTTGTTTCATTGATTTTAATTGTTGTTTAGTCTCCATCTCATTAGTTTTTGCCATAGTCTTTAGTTCTTTCTACCTGCTAATTTGGGGTATAACCAGATGAGATTGAGGTGCATTACTTTTTTTTGGAGCTCACTGTGTGATAATAGTCACTAATAGCTATACTTTTCCTCTTAGCACTGTCTTGGCTGTTCTCAAGTGGTTCTAGTAAATTCAACAGATTCTGAGAATTTATTGATTTCACCATCTGACCCCAATAATCCACTTGGTTATTCAACAATACTTTAAGTCTAGGTGCTTGAATATTTTCTGTAGTTCATTTTGTTGACTTCCAGTTTTATTCCATTGTGGCCTCCTAGAAGGGTTATTTCAATTACCTTCTATTTAATAAGATTTGCTTTATGTCCTAAAATATGATTCTGGGGAAAACCCCAACATCTACAAAGAATGTGTATTTTGCAGCTGCTAGATGACATATTCTAGTCATGCCTATTAACAAAGCTTCTTTGTTGATTTTTAGCCGGATAACCTATTAGTGAGAATGACATACTAAACTCTCCCACGGTTATTATACTGGGTCAATCTGAGTTTCTAGTTCCAGTGGTGTTTAATTAATGAAAATGAGTGTGTTGATGTTTGGTAAATACAGGTCAACAATTATTTCCTCTTCATGGGTTGTTGCCTTTACAAAAATGAAGTGACTTTAGTCTCTTTTAATTTTGGCTTGAAATCCGTCTTTATCAGATACAAGCATGCTTTTAGGGTCCATTCACATAGAAAACCTTTTTACCAACCTTTCAACCTAAGCCAATGTTTGTCATTGTCAGTGAGATTCTCTGTCTTCTGAGTAGAGAACTGAGACCACTGGCTTAACACTGAAATGTATGTGGTATTTCTTGTCTTTCTTTTTTTTTTTTTTCCTGAATGAATTCTCACTTCCCAATATTCTTGTCTAGTGGGATTTAATCTTTCCTGTATTTTCTTGGGTGTCTTTATCTTCCTTTTTTGTGTGCAGAATTCCTTTAGTTTATTTGTTATGTTTTTTTTACAGTGTTGTTTTAGTGGTCACAAATTCCTCTAGTTTTTATGGTGGAAGTTTTATACATTGTCCTCAATGTGAATATCCTTGCTGCATAATTAAATCTCCATTGACAATTGTTTTCTTTGAAAACTTGGAATATGCTGGGTGCTGGTGGCTCATGCCTGTAATCCTAGCTACTCAGGAGGCTGAGATCTGAGGATCGTGGTTCAAAGACAGTGCAGGCAGGAAAGTCCGTGAGGCTATTATCTCCAATAAAAACCACTAGAAAACTGGAAGTGGCGCTGTGGCTTAAGCGGTAGAGCGCTCGCCTTGAGCTGAAGAGCACAGGGACAGCGCCCAAGCCCAGAATTCAAGCCCCACAACCGTCCAAAAACAAAACAAACTTGGAATATATCATTCTATGTTCTCCTTTAGTTTCTGCTGTTCTGATGGGTTTTCTTTCATGTGACATGTCATTATCCTCACAGCTTTCAATGTTCTTTGTCCTATATATTTAATATTCGGATTGTTTTGTCTAGATTTCTTTTCTCATCATGCTTATTTGGTATTCTGAAAGCCTCCTGGGCCTGAATGACCCTCTCTTTCTCAAGAGTGAGAACATTTTTTGCTATTAATTTATTCAGTACATTTTTTTCACTTTTGGCTTTGGGGAGGGGAGAGGAAAGCCGTCATGGGACTTAAATTCTGTCTGGGCACTGTCCCTGAGCTTTATTTGTTCAAAGCTAGTGCTCTACCACTTTCAGCCATAGCTCCACTTCCCATTTCTAGTAGTTACTTGGAGAGAAGACATTTCTGCTTGGGCTGGCTTTGAACCACAGGCCAAGTTCACAGCTTCCTGAGTAGCTAGGATTATAGGCAGGAACCACCAACATCTAGCTGGCGTTTATCTCTTCTCCTCTCGTATATCCATGATTCACAGGGTTGTTCTTTGGTGTCCTGAAGGTCTTGCATGATGTGTTTGATGTTTTTTAGTGTTTTTGTTTTTGTCTAACTTATCGACTTCTACCTTATCTTCAAACCCCATCACTATTTCCAACTTGTTCCATTTTGTTAGTAAGGCCTTCAATTGATTTTTTTGTTAGAGTTGACATTTCCAGGATTTCACTGATTTTCCAGGATTTCTGCTTTTGAATTCCTCCTTTTCATTCCCATATTGTCTTTATTGTTTAAGACAGCTGTGTTTGTATCCTTGGAACTCATTCAGGGGCTTTAATCCTATTGATCTTTGCTGTTGACTTTATTGTTTAAAATGTCATCAGCTTCACTATCAAATTGTCTTAATTATTAAAACTGTTGGCTTTTGAAGGAAACATGTTGTCTTGTTTTTCTTATTACTTATGATTCCACCCTGGGATTCACACATCTGAAACCAAGTTGTTTTTAGAAGTTTTCATCACTTGTAGTCTTCCAGTTGAAATAGTCTCACTGTTCATGTAGAAGAGTGTAGTGGCTGGGCTCAGGTGCATTTCCCACTACTGCACTGGGGAGGATGGCTCAGTGTACAGTGCACCAGGATTGATTCTCAGCACTGCTCAGATTCTGTTTGTGTCTCCTGAGATCTTAAGTGTCTGAGTCTCAGGGTGACCCCATTGATGGCATCAAAGAGTGGGTGAGCAAACATACCACTGAGCTCTTCACCTGCTGGGGAAGAACTAAGAGACTTATTTGCTCTGCCTATTGTCTTAATGTTGACAGACATTGTCCAGTAGTTTGCCTTCCTAACAGGAGAAGGAAGCAGTGGAAGTTTCATAGTTGAGAAGGTCTAGATTTGGGCCCTCAGTCCTGACTATGAGTAGGTACACACAGTAGGATGCCTGCTTGTAGCTATCTTAATGTAGCATTCATAACTTTAGGCAGATGAACTATTACAAAATATTCTATAACCATTTGGAACACAGAGAACTCAGCAGATTTCAGTGTGAAAAATGCTAAAACTTGCCATATTGAAGCTCCCAAAGCATATGAAAAAAAAACAGTGTCAACAGAGGTATTCTCTGGAAAAGAGATGCCACAAATGTTGTCCCTGGCACATTAATACATCTGTTGTTTTAACACTGCCAAATTTTCTGTCACATTATTTGAAAGCTGACATGTTTAGATTGGGTGTTGGTGAAAGGTGGGCGTATGCTGGCTCTGAAACACCAAAAAGAAAGCAGTAAGAACTGGACCAGGGGAGACACACTGCACCAGATAACAATTCATTGTCTTGATTCAAAGCCTCTATTCAGTGATTCACAGGATACTGTTACAAGGACATTATTTTTTTTTAAGTCTATTCATTTATAAAATCCATTTATTTCATACTTTTTGTTTAACAGCTAGGATTCAGTGTTAGTGATGTGACTGACCCAAGTGAAAAAGTACTAACTGCAATCATTTTAAGTGCCACTTCAGAAGAATAAGGTTTCAGCTATTATGACTTCGTGACTTTAAATTACAATACTATCTGACTTAAAGAAAATTATATTACTGTGACTTTATATTATAATCCTACTTTGAGTAATATGTAACAACAAACAACTGCACTAAACAACATCTGCAACATCCATCTAGTCACTGCTATTTGGGTACTCACTCCAACATACAGTCACTCTTAAGTCAACTGCCTGTTACAATAAAGAAGATTTGTGAAGTTGGCTTCTCTATGGAAGAAAAGGAAAAACATCTAAGGACATTCTGAAATTTAGAAATCAAACCAAATATCTTTGCCAAGCAGTGTACCCACTCTGGAAAGCTGGTGGTTGCTAGATGCAGGAAGCAACTGACCAAGGGGAGTGTTTTGTAATATTTTTCTGCTTCTGGGAAGGCAACAGAAAACAAAACAAAACAAATTAACTATTACATTTAGAATTAAACACATTCCCTTGGGTAATTATATATGTGCAACCTATATATGGTAATCAAAAGTACCATATTCTATCACTGTATTAGAAAAGCAGGCAAAGGCCCACACTAATTCCTATTACGCTTGTTTCTTGGCTCAGTCTCAGCATTTTCAGCTGCTCTTGTGCGGCGGTTCTGTCTTGGACTTACTTCTCTGTCTTGAAGATCATTTCTGAAAACAAAAAGAAAAGAAAGGAGATCTTAGAAAGCAATACTCGCTATTCTAAAGCAAGGTCTAGATTATAAATATTTTCACAGGGATTATTTCATTAAAACCTCAAATAGCCTTCCATTCCATTTACAAGCCTCCAGCTAGTATAAACACCATCATTCCCACTTTATAAATGATAAACAGTGAAAATGCAAAGATCACAGAAAAGCAATCTTTCTTCTGAATTCACATCTAGCAGTTTTACACTTCTGCTTAACATCTTAACATTTTAAAAGCTAGGGGAAAAAAGTTTCCTCTATCCTAACAAGAAAGTCCAGATAGTGTTACTGAGAGAAGAGCAGTAAACTTTTTCTGGCCCATTGGGCTCAAGCAAAGTTTATCCACTGAAGAGCAAAAGTGAAGTCAGACTGCTCACGAGAGAGGACAGAGAATAATTTTGCAATCACACGGGGAAAGACTCATTGCTTCTGGAGATGACAGGAAGTACAACATCCACCTCTGGAGGGTAGAAATTCATTGCAGACAGATGATCTCACATAGACACCAAGGAACGCTACAATGGGAGGGTGGAAGTAGTACTGGGAAAACACCATCCTGTGACACAGGAGCATGGACGTACAGAAGACAGAGGCTGCAGCAAGGCAACAGAGAAGTCCTACATATGAGCCCAACACCAAGTCAGATGCAGGCATGAAACAGCCACAGAGAAGACCGAAAGGTAGGCAGGAGGGAAATCAACCCCACATTATACAAGAGCATTATAAAAAGCATATAACTGCTAGAGGAATGTAGACCCCCTGATGCACTGAAGGTTATGTGAATCACCAGAAAACCAGCCAGGCCAAATCCTGAATTACCTGGCTCAATTTCCCATGTCTGTTTCTAGACATAAACACTATTTATTTCAGTCTTGTGGGTATTTCACAGTATGTTCACCATTCAGTCAAAACTTATGACACAAAAGGAGGAAAAACCCTAGAGAAAAAAGCAACCGGCAGATACAAGATAACTCATTTGTTGGAACCATTAGACCAGGACTTTAATACAGTTATAATCACTACATAAAAAGGCTTTAGTGGGAAAGCTGGACACCACCCATGGTCAAATGGAGAACTTCAGCAGACAGGGAAACAATGAGCTAAATAGACAAGTTAGGACAAATTCACCAAAGAAAAACATTCCTTCAAAGGATTCATAACGATGATGCAGAAAGGTGATGAAAGACATGGTGAACTTAAAAGACACATCAATAAAATTCATCCAAACTTAAGAAACAATGAGCGTGCAAAAAACAGAATCACTGGAAAAGAGAGACATAATGGAAAATAAACTAGTTGGCTGTAAATTTTCTACAAATAACTAAAGACATCAAGACCAAAAGCGGTTAAAAGACTCAAATCAGAATAAATAAGAAAAATAAAGGAACCATAAATAAAAGCATCCAGACAGCTATGTCATGAAGATAAAACAGAAGCTGGAGACAAGTCTGAACCCCAAAGGGGTGCTTCCAGTTGGAGAATGCCTCCCTTTGTCAGAGGGTCCACTCAAACAAATAAAAAAAATCATTAGCCACAAGATTTGCAATCTCAAAGGGATCATCTGAGCTGTGGGGAAGATATGCATTTCTCTATGTGTGGCTCTTCCTATTGAGATTCTGCTCCAGCACCAGCAGGACAGACAATTCTATATTCAGAGCACATCAATTCCTATATACCTTCTGATGTCAAAGCAACAATGAATTAGCCCAAAGAGTCCCTCTCCTCCCACACCCCATGCCGCCGAGGCCACATTAGCTTCCCCTGTCTGCCTACCTCCAAAAGAGCCATGGACATCATAGTCCTTCCCCTCCCCAAAGGTCAAAGTATACTCAGATGGGTACACCTCCTCTGGGGGCAAGAAGACCTTGGCTTTACTCCCAGGCAACCAAGTCAGAACAGCCAAAACAGGTCTGAAAGAAATATTTAGGTTGACAACACCAAAGGCCATTGATGATGCAGGTGCACAAAATAATGCAGCGAATCTGGAAGGCACTTTAGTAGATTCTTATAAAATATACTGTTACTGTATTACCCTGTATTGAACTGCACTCCTTGGTATTTTCTTAAAAGAGCTGAAAACATATCTTCACACAAAATCCTGCACACAGCTATTCCTGGAAGCTTATTCCGAACCGCCAGAACTGGAAAGCAGCCAGGATAGCCTTCAGCAGGAGTAGATCAATCCGTACATCCAGACAATGAAATACTACTCAGCATGAAAAAGAAACAAGTTGTCAAACCAAGAAGAGACATGGAGGAAATTTAAATGAGTATTACAAAGGGAAAGAAGCCAAGTTGGATTGTTGAGTCCAAGTACACAACTTCTAGAAAAGACAAAAATTATGGGGAAAATACAAAACTCAGAACTTTCTATGCTTCAAGAGAAGGAGAGATGTCTAGATCATAGGTGACTTTGAGGAAAGTGAAACTATTCTACATGACACTAACACCGTATGTGCATGGCCTTACACACTTGTCAAACCCATACAGTGAAGAACACAAAAATGAATATTATAAAATGTTACAGACATTTTATAAACGAGATCTCACATTATTTTATTTCAAGGCTGTAAAGCTCCAGTAATCAAGTTTGTTACTGATGAAGACAGAAAAAGAAAGATTCCAGAAAAAGACCCACACATACACATTCAATCATTTTTCAGTAAAGGTTATTAAATGCACATAAGATAGTCTCTTCACACCACTGGAGCAAGTAAAGATCTCTGTATAAAAAAAGAAAATTTTAACCACAATCCACACGTTGTAATGTTACAAAAATTTGCTTCAAATAGGCTACAACCTTTAATAGACCTTAATAAAAAAAGACTAAAAGGTCTAGGACATGGGATCTTGAATTAGGCAAAAATTTCATATGCAGGACAAAAACAAAGCACATATATTCTTTTAAAACTCTGAAACATATTTCTTCAAAATTTCAAAATGAAAAGGCAAATAAATAATATAAAAAGGTGAGCGTAAAATCCCCATTAAGTTTTGCACTGTAGCATGTTCTGAATACAGTTTTTGACACATTTCAAAAGGCTTATATAAACTACAGCCTATAAAACTTGGTCAGACTTACAGAGCAGGGAATTCCCACTCCTCAGACCAGGCCAGGAGGCCACTGATGAATAAGAGCACTGTCAGGACGCAATCCACAGCCCACTTTAACCTGCCTGGCTCCCCATCCACAGGACTGTAAATAGAATGAACGGGTTTTGATAGTTTTACTCCTGCTGCTTTTAGGTAGTTTTCCACCCATTATTTTTGCTTCAAGTATTCTAGGGCACTTGTTAAGTGCATCTTCAAACTTCATTTTGCCAACCTCAGCCTTTTAATTGGATTATTTAAGCAACTTCAGTTTACTGCAATTATAGATAAAGTAGGATCTCTGTGTGCCATTTTGCTTCTGCTTTCTTAAGTATTAAACTTTTTTTTTCTACTGCAACATTTAAATTCCCCTATTTCTTACACTACATCTTGAATTTTATATTCTTAATGGTAGCCCTGGGATTGTAATGAGCATATTAATTTACAACAAAATCCCATTCTCAATTTTAAAAAAATATCACTTGGATTAATGTCAGTAATACACAAAAATTTGCTTCTATATAAAGCTTTCCTTCCAATCCTTGTGCTGTAAGTTGTCACATAAATCGCAACATATAGTATGACCCAAAACATAGATTTATAATGACTGCTTTATACCCTTACCTTTTAAAATGAGAGAAAAAGAAAAGTTATCATCAAAAACACATCAAAACTATCTTTTATATTGGTCTATGTATTTACCTTTACTGTAACAATTTGTTTATCTCAGGTCCTTCCCATTCAACCTAAGTAGATTCCCTTCAGTATTTCTTATAGAGCAGTTTCCTAACATTGAAGTTTTCTTGTCAGGGCTGGCCACTCACCCCTATGTGCCAATTAAAGGGCAGCAATGGTGAAAACAGACAAAGGAGATTCATTATGTGGCAAGGGCCTGCCACAGGAAGGCAGCACTGAAGCCAATCTTCAGCCATCTTTGGGTACAGACATGAGCTCTAGTCTTAAATAAACAAAAGTGAGGGGAGGGAGAGAGATAGGCATGCACAGTTATTATTATACATAGTCACAGAGATGACCCAGTGGTCAGAGGTGGTAGCAGATGGTCTGACAGTCCATTCTCTCAGAACTGGTCAGGTGGGGTCTCTAGGGAGCTGTCGCATGATGGGATAGGATACCAGGCCAAAGAAAATTGGAAAAGGCAGAGAAAGAGAGCAATAAGAGAGGATAATCAGCAGGGACCAGGGGTCCCAAGGCTCTCTAGTACTTGCACCCTGAGTTCCTGCAAGCAAGTATATTCGAGTTCATACAAGGAAGGTTACCAAGGATACACGCAAAAAGTAAGGCATCTATATTAATATTACAATCAGAGCTAAGACAGTTTGTGACAGACACTGGTTCCTTATTCTTTTGAGACAGAAGACTGCAGCCCAGGGAAAAGTCCAGACACAATGTCTAAGGTTAAGTTAATCAAAGTCTTTGTGTCCAGCCTACAAGGTCAGCACAGCTGCCAGCCTAAAAAAGGAGGAGGGCTAACACCCCAGTCTCTTCATTCTCTCAAGAGCTGTCTGTTTTAACTCTTCCACAGCTCAGCATTCCAAGTGCTATCAAAGTGGTTTTCCAACCTCTCAGTTTCCAGGTTTCACAGTTCAGCTTCAGAGTTCTCTACAGGGAGCAATCTCATCTCCATAGGCAATGGTGTCCATTTGGGGAGGGAGGGAGGGTGCCAGGCTCCACTATACTTTAGGAGTAGTTTAGTGCCTTATCATAAAGATGTAATTGATCAGTCCAGTCCTTTCCTGGATTCTGTGGTCACTGCAAAGTGAAAGGTTTAAAACAACGGACATAGATATAAACTGAGGCTGCTTTTAGTTATGTAGATGTCTTTCAGCAAAGGCAGCTTTCCTCAGGACTGAC